TTGTTTTGGATTAAATATCGCAACTGAATAAAAGTGAATATTAAAAAGAATTCATCTTTTTTCCTTTTTTTTTTTTAAGTGTCCTAAATATAACTGCATATTAAATGGTAATTTTAATTGTCATATTAACCCTTTCCTTATAAGGAAACATTCGATTTTCATTGTCTGGTCAGCCAGTACTACTCTTGAGTAAAATTCATAAAATCTTTCTATTAAAACAATTTTTAAAGAAAATAGGTTATAGCGCTATTCGGTATTGATGATAGCTTCCTTTCTAACTTTTTTTTTCTGGAGTACTGTGAAACGTCAACATCTTGATTATCTAATTATTTCCCCTTCGAGTTACATGTGCTATACATTCTAGCTGTTGCTGAAAGTTCCCAAGTGCTGTGGTTTCTGTTATTAGGTACAGTTCACTGTGTGTGATTCTGTAGCGCCAGTCGACATTGTTCGAAAAAGCATGGTACCCGCTAAGACCTACTACTCCCATTTGATGAAAGCCACTTTTAATGATTGATTCGAAAAGCGCTTACATACTGTTGACAGTTTAGATATTTCTGAACGAGTTTGGCGCCGTGCATGACATCCGGATGAAATTCTGTATCTAAATCGAGTTTTTAAATTAATGTTTTGGTTTTGTAGCAACTTGTGTTGGGTGAAACTACACTTAGCGTAACCTATTTTCTGTTCAATTTATTTATCGTATATTAAATTTGTTATAATTCGTATATCGTGGTATCTGAAGTGAATGTTACTTGAAAAAGATTAGTTAATATCGAAACAGGATTAAGGGTCCAATACGTGTTAATTTAACATTAGACAGCCCCTTAACTTCTAGTGTTAATGGCAGATACCAAGGAATTTATTTACGCTTGCAGCACCTTTGGAAAGAACCTGAAACCCTACCACAGGTTGACTCAGACATTGTAAGTGAAATTGGGTAGATGGTTGTGGTAGCACGATGTCACAAGTCATCGTGACCGAGGCTTTGAGCGTATTGACATTGTTCATGTTTGATAAACCGTTCACTCCCAGTAACTGTAACTAAGTTTCTTTCAGTATAGTTGCAGTATAAAACAGATGTGGGCTTTGTGGGTGATGAACAAATATGACTGAGCAGGTGTCTGTAACATGAATTGGCTAGCTGACCTAATAGACGGGCATACTTGGATAATGGTGGCAAGCCTTTATATATATATATATATATATATATATATATATATTATATATATATATATATATATATATATATTATATATATATTATTATTATTATATATATATTATTATTATATATATATATATATTATATAATATATATTATTATATATGTATATATAAAGTGGACACAAACAACTTCAAACGGCGTCAGTTTGTTTCATGCTTCAAGTGCACTTTTATATTTACATATGCCGTGTCTCTGATATTGAGCACTTTTACGCATTAATATACCTTGAAACTATACTTTTATCACATTGTTTATATATATATATATATATATTTTAACCTCTCTCGCTCTATCGAAACATGTAGGAAGACTAAGAGAGAAGGAACGAGACATTTGTTACACATATATAGGCTTGTTGTACTTTCATGTAATATTTTGGTAAAATGTATTCGATTTTAAGCTAAATTTAAAATTCTTCCGGAATTACCATTTATAACCTTGGCGACGAGACCCCAAGTGATATAAACAGAAACGCGATTTATTTTTAGAACTACATATTTTCATCAATATTTACTTATGCGTTATAGGTCAATATATATATATATATACTCGTCGTTGATTGGTAAATATAGCAAATAATACAGACGCAACATAATACAGTGCAGTAAATAAAAAAAACAAAAAGAATATAGATTATTAGATACACGTGGCTAAGACGTTTAATTGCCCCAAGGACGACTGGCTGTAGTCTCTCCCGTAAACACAGTTCGTCCCCAAAGACAAAATCGACATTTCCTCTTGCAGACTGTAGGCAAGTTATGAATAGACGAACGGTTCCACGTATATGTGAGTTGCAGCTATAAATAGCGTCATCACTAACGGTTTCTAAATGCTGTGTAAAGCACATAAATTACAGAGTGTAAGGCTGCATCGCAGATCGGGGGGAAAAAACTTATATGTGTATATAAATAAAGGTTGTCTTAGATAGTTTTATTACATAGGCATTGCAGATTTTACAACAATACGAACGAACTAATTACTTAATTTGGTTGAGATTACGAAGAACAGAAAATTAGTTTACCGGGATCAAGTGTTAGTTAGACAGAAACTAAATTAGATTTGTCGGTATTACAGATTTTAAGGATTTGCAGTTGATGTAATGCCTACCGTCACCAAAAATGAAATAAAAAGGGTGAGTTCAGATTCCGGCTAAGCTTATTGTGTTAAATTCGCTCTCATACCTTTGCATGAACTGATCTCCTCTTGCACTGGCTCTGTGTAAATAGTAGAGTAGACTTGATTCTTTAGCTTTGTTAAGGCAGCTAGTCTAAGAGCACAACTCTGAATTTAAAACCTTAGAGAAGGCAACAGGAAACCATTCCACTATCGCCCAAGAAATCATGGAATTTGATGATATTAGCTGTGGAGTTCCGTGACTGCCGTGACGATGTTTTCCCGATTTCTACAATCTTCAAATCTAAGGCCAACGGCTATCTATCCTACATTATCATGATAATATGCACGTCTTTCTTCCTCCCTTTATGTCCTTACTTCTATCCTCATTCAGTAACCCTCTATCTTGAATGGCCCTTGGGCCTTAGACTGTGTGGACAATAGTATGAAAATTAGTTCAGTGAATAAAAGCCCGGTTTTTATGCAGTCTCAAAAGAGACAGACAAATTCAAAAATGCTCCCAGTATTATATGGAGTACTCGGATTTTGCAAGCATAAAGATATAAATAACTGACGTGCGTGAATGTTGTGCAGTGCTGAACTTTCCTGCATGATATCTGAAAAAAAAGTAAATGCCTTCTCAGCCTGCGACAGAATGCACAACTTTACACAAATGAAGAATTTTAGCCGCTCTGCTTTTCCAATGCCCGATAGATCAACACGTTTGGTCCAAGTTTGCTGGGATAAAGGTGATTTCATCCAGTCACCATCTCTAGATTGGTAGTCAATCAAGGCTTTAGAACACCGTCTGTTCTGCTATTTAACCTATTTCTGGGTGGGGGGGGGTTGTGAGAAGAGATGTATCCGTATCTTTCCAAAGGGTATTTTCCTGTGAGTGAATATAAAGAACTCGATTCACAGATTTCTAGTACCGAGCAGCAATTCATTACAACACCTGTACATTCATATAGGCCTTATAGTCAAACAAACAAACAAAATGTCTCATTTAAATTGTAATTCTCGTTTGGTTGCATTAGACGACTAGAGATCTCGTTGATCTTTTCTCTTTTAACTCGAACAGTGTCTCGTGCCTCCAATTGTCATTTGAATGAAATCTATTCTGGCAACAGGCTAAGAATTAGACGAATTTATCTTGTGTGGTTTTCTCTTTTTTTTTGATTTTCTCTTATCTCACGTTTTTATTTTCATAAATATGGATAAAAAAAAAACCTTGTATATTTTAACTGTCAAAAGTGGCAACAGCTCAATGCTGCCTGGGTTATAAAGTTATGGTACTCTACTCTTATTTCCAAGTCCTCTAAGCGTATGATCAACGTTGAGGTCTTACAGAGAATGCAAACAAGGAGGAGGTTTATATTTAACATCAGGTAGAGGCAGCTGAAGTTTCTAAGACAGATAATGAGGAAGTAGGGTCTGGAGAATCTGATACTTACGGGTCGAATAGAGGGAAAGAGAGACAAGGGAAAACAACGCATGACATACCTAGCGGGCTTAAACAAGTGGATAACATAACGTGATCTGAGGAGGGGGCAGAGGGAAGGAACATTGAGAGCTTCAAGGGATAGAGGGAGGTGGGGAGCCATGATCGCCTACGTCCTGAAAGGACATGGCACATGAAAAGAAAGATCTCCAACACCATCTCCATTAGCCATTGTGATGTGACATGGCATGTCAGTATATCTGGAGATCTGGAAAACACGCAGAGGAAAAAAAATGGATACGCGCCTTTTCCGAGACCATTAGTGCAGAGTGAATGCAAGCGTTCGCGGATTCCATTAGGCCACTTCGAACTTGAACTTATTTTTTTTAATGTCATATCCCTTCGGATTTTCATTTTATTTATTATCGGCGAATTACTATGACTTTTTATCTAAGTTTGATAATTACGTAGTGCTCCAAAATTTTGATCTTGTGCCAAACTAAATTAATTTTAATATTTGCAAGCACTGACGGGGCAGCTCTAGCCGAGTCATGGTTCTCGGATGAATTTAAAACACGTCCAGAATTTCAATCTCGCAGACTCTCGTTAAACACTTATTGGATGACCCAATTTTGTGGCCTTGCGTCAAACTTAACTCAGTACATACCTGCCTAAAGGCATCTAGTGCAAACCGATTGATCTGCAAAGTTGCCGATTAAGCAATCTGCTTTATATCACAAATCAACATATTTTAGTTTTTCTCGCAGCTTGAATATAAATATATATCGTCGTCTCTTCTGACCTGAAATTAAATACTTAAAGCTGTTTTAGTAAGTCTTTCTTTCTTTTTATATTATCTCTCCATCTTTTTCTTTTTTTTATCTCTCTCTTACTTTCTTTCCTCTTCATCTCTCCCGCGTTCTCTTTCTCTTTATTTTCTCTTTTCTTTCTTTATCGTCCAGTCTGAGTATGCTGTTTATCTGTCTGTTCAGTCTGACTAGATATTATATTGACTAGCTTAATTTAGCACAGGGCCAAATTAAGAAAAAAGAGGTTAGTTAGACTCTGTTGCGATGAGCCATATATCCCGATTCTTACCTGTGTCGCTAGCTATTTTCTAACTAAACATTTGTGGTTCCGGAATAGTTATTACCATATATATATATAGAGAGAGAGAGGGTTAGAAAAAATATAAAAAATTGTTTAAAATTTGCTCTATTTATAAGGATGGATAAATAAGATAGCCATGGAAAGATAGATAGACAGATAGATATGGAAAGATAGATAGACAGATAGATATGGAAAGATAGATACATATAGATAGATATGGAAAGATAGATAGACATGGAAAGATAGATAGATATATAGAGATAGATATGGAAAGATAGATAGATATAGAGAGATAGATAGATAGACATGGAAAGATAGATATGGATAGATAGATAGATATGGAAAGATACATAGATATATAGATACGAAAAGATAGATAGATATAGATAGATATGGAAAGATAGAGCAAATTTTTAAACCATAGCTATCTATAGCGGAAAATAGATGAATGTTTAAAAATTTTCTCTATTTATAGGCGAAGAATTATCGATATCTGAGATAGCGTTTATCGATAGAGACAGTCTGGATATAAGAATCGACAATGCATAGCAACTGTCAGTTTCAGGTCTTAATGCTATCATCAGAAACTTGGTCCGAATATAGCATCCATGCGGGAAATTAAGTCTGGGTTGCTTTGTGTTTGTATCTGTCTCATTATAACATTTTATTTTTATTTATCTTCTTTTTTTTTAATCATTTCAACCCGAGCAAGGCGGGAATGCCACTAGTACGCAGGGGGTTAGATGAAGTGAAAGTGAGAGGCAAGACTGAGTTATGGCAGGATTGAGGAAAGGACAAATGATGAACGCGATTCAAGAAGACAACAGATAGCGACTGATGTTGGATTTAAATTTTTGAAGATTGTAGTTATCATGGAAGCAAGTAAAAAGAAGGATGTTCCACGGGCGGAAAGTGCGAGAAAATAAACTTTTGAAGTAGAAGTGGCAGTTGCATTTAGTTATTTCAACAGTAAAAGAAAGTTCGTCAGTAGCAGCTTAAATTTGGAGCACCAGGAAAAAGTTCGTCAGACGTCATGAAAAGTCGGTCGGTGAGAAAGTGACTGAAGTCGAGATGTTTGACCAGGATCGATTGCTGTTATACTAGAACATTACCTAGTCTATTGTAATAGACTCTCCCACACATAATAAGTATTAGTAGTAGTAGCGGTTGCCAGTTGAGCGAGTCAGTCGATGTTGGACATTGAAGTATCAACCACCCCAAATAGATTGCTGCGTCATTAACTCTTATTTCAAGTTCCTAACGTTTTGTACGTCGGACCCTTTTAGGACCGACTTAGCGAAATACAAGCCTCCACTGTGAAAACTACTTTACAACAATTACATCACAGATCCGTACGGTAATTAATCCTTTGAGCCGTGACCACCGCTTTCCTAGTGGTACAGAAAAATGACGTAATGTCCAGCCCCCGGTTGAACGATAGTAGCGAAAAATAAACTAATATCCAGCTACCGGTTGAACGATGGGTAAACACTTGTAACTATTTTTATATCTACCGTGAAACATTACATACCCAGTCCTGGGTAAGACGATAAACTACGTCCAAGAGCAAGGCCTCTGAGCAGGAGTCATTGAGGAACGTGAAACCACCTCTTGGTGGTATTTCCAAGTTCACTCCAGTCTGACCCGGGTGGTAGTACCTGTTAGGATCCCAGCTATGAGCAAATAGTTAACCCCCAGACTGGGGTCAAAACACTATGAAAGTCTAAAAATAGGTTTTAATACCAGAAATACTTTTTTTTTTAATTATTACCAGTAATACATTTTTTGAAAAAAAATATTACCATCAATAAAAATCTTGTCGGTATTAAATAACCCATTGAGGTTGGTATGCTGTAAAACAAACCAAACATTAAATACCAATTATTTGCGAATTTGGACTCAGGAGCTCAGGCAGAAGGGTTAAAATTGCTCAGGAACGCAGAGTTCAAAGGGTTAATATAGAGACGCTAACAATAAAACTATTCATTCATTCTGATTTTTTTGTACAGTAAAACAGAAATGGATCCAGATTAAATGTAATGAGAAAATAAAGATAAAATAAAATTAAAAATACGAACAATCTGACTTCAACGTTTAATGTCTCAGTAAGGGTTAAAATGGCATTAAATTTACAAACTTAGGAAATCGGTAAGAATTCGTCTCTACCGATTTCTCGCTTCTTTTCTTATCTATTTATCTATACATCTATTTCAGTTTGTTCTTAACCTATTTATTTCAATTTATCTATTTCATTATCGCTATTTTTTTTATGCTGAGGCCAGCTTGCTGGTTTCACTCTTCCAACCTGTCGTCCGTGTGCAAGCACCTGGAAAATTTGAAATCATGTTATGAATTTGTGACAGATTGAAGTCGAGGTTTAAAGTGGGTTTAATGACAATACCATTGTTTTTCACGGTATTGCCGTTAAACCCTCTTTAACCCTCGACCTTGTATCACATTCAGTAGCGACGTGGGGGCACTGACAAAAAGGCCCTTAGCAATCCGTATTTTCGTATACTTATAAAGATCGACACTAACGATTTTGTATGAATTTATATATCTCTATTCATCTCGATATGAAGAAAACTAACAATAAAAACTGAGATAAGTAAATGGATAAAGCGATATTACACACACGGACTTTTTCTTTCACTCTCGTTTTATGAGAGGGAGTCATCATAGGGTTCACCATACAGTGTTGATTCCTATGTCCTTACTGTCTATATCTATAAACGCTCTGTCTCCGTTATTGAAAATTTTCCCTCTATAAATATAGTCAATTTTAACAAGTGTGTGTGTGTGTGTGAGAGAGAGAGAGAGCGCGCGCACTAGGCATGCTGAAAAAATCGTAACCTGACTCAGAAAGTGGATTCAAAAACTTTTCCCGATTTTGCTAGATTTTGCGAATTGGGCAGGTCTGAGAACTTTTCATTCCTTCGTGTGTGTATTTTATATATATATATATATATATATATATATATATATATATAAGTTGATATCTCCCTGACGAGTGAGCCGAGTGATTACTATAGGATCCGTTTACTAAACTGTAGTCAGGATGCTGAATGTAACATCAATCAACTAAGTGATGTATTTGTATTAATTCTATATATTTTTCAATGTTTGTTTAAATTAATCAATTAAAAGCTTAAAATGTTCACTTGTTTGTTGATAAACTACATTTTCTAATTAAATGTAAATGTTTCGCAAATATATTTTGATTAAAGTAAAGTATTTTATAGTTTTTAACCTTTTTGTATCTGGAACTTATTGTTACATCTAACCAATGCAACTGTAAATTTATGAGACCTCTTTATGAATCTAGTACAGTGCTTAAATTCATAAAGTCTAGGTACCATAGAGGAAAGTTAATCAGAACAATTACCAAGAAAGTATTTATAGAAAAGGCACGGAGAAGCTACATTACGATGGTGGAAAAGTGACTGAAGCCAGGTCAAGACCAATTATATTGCTGATTCGTCTCTGAATTTCATCAATAATCTCTAAAACTATAGCAGGAGCACCGGACTATATATAGCAGCAATATTCAAAGCATGGATGAATTGTAGACTTATAAATATCTAAGATAGATTATGGCAACAAAAATTGTCTAGCAAGGCACACTGAACCATACTTCTTGGCAGCAGACCTAAGAATGGATTTAATATAATCTTTCCACTGCATGTCAGACGAGAATGTTAGCTCGAGAAGGAACAACGTGTCACACTCCTGTGGGTTAGCACCAGCCATGCTGATGGGTAGCAGAAAGATGGGTGATTAATAGAGAGAAGTTTCGTTTTGGAGGCGTTAAAATTAACAAGCCATTCCTTGCTCCAATTAACAACAGATTGTAGGTCATTTTTCAGACCAGCTGCGAATTTGACCTTATCGAACTGGACAGGCTTACTATCGAGACAGGAGTAAATAGTTGAGAATTGATGCCACCAGGAAGGTCATTGATGAAAATTAAGAACAAAGTAAAACAAAATCTAGAAGAGTAGCCGTTAAAACGATTTTCATTTCGCGATTTGATAAGAAAAACCGAATTAGTTCAGACATTCGTCCAGAAACACCATAACTTTTCAACTTGTGAAGACCGGTATGCCAAAATCTGTCGAAGACTTTAGAGACGTCCAAAGCAATAACCCAAGCTTCACCATTCTTATCAAAAGCTTGTTAGAATCTTTCAGCAATAATCGTTAATACATCAGAAGTTGACCTAGAGAAGGGAGCCATATTGTTTGTATACTCTCACACACACGCGGTACGCTACGAAAGTAGTGTATCCTATTTATTTCTGTGGGGACTAAAACTGATACAGGGTGAGGCACATGAATACCTTTTTATAGAACAAATTTTTATCTACAAAACACTATTTTGGTACGTAGTCACCACCGTAGTATTTGCATTTTCACCAGCTCGTTTTGTTTTTGTTTGTTTTGTTTTAGGGCATATCAACCGCAGTGGGTTATTTAATGCCGACAAAATTTTTATTTCTGGTAATGTTTTCCTTCTGGGAATATTTTCCTTGAAGAAATCTATAGCTTGTTATATTTTTTCCAAAGAATGTATAGCTGTTTGCATTTCTGGTATTTTTTTAAAGTATTGCTGGTAATAATTTTTTCCTTAAAAAATTATTGCTGGTATTATTTTTTATTATTACAAAGTATTTCTGGCATTAAAACCTATTTTTGCACAAGTTTGGTTTGGTTTAATTTGTTTTGTTTTACGGTATATTAACCACAATGTGTTATTTAATGCCGACAAATTTTCCATTTTTTTCCAAAATGTATAGCGGGTAATTTTTTTCAGAAATGGATAGCTGGTAATATTTTTTTTTTTTTAAATGTATAGTTTGTTTTGTTTTGTGGCATATTAATCTCAATGGGTCATTTAATGCTAACAAGATTTTTATTTCTGGTAATATTTTTTTTTCAATTATTTATTGCTGATACTATTTTTTTTAATGTATTTCTGGTATTAAAATCTATTTTTACACTTTCATAGTCTTTTGAGTCAGGTTGTGGGGGTCAACTATTTTCCCATAGCTGGGACCCTAACAGGTGCTACAACCCCGAGTCAGGGTGGACCTGGGAACACCAGCAATTAAGAGGTCGGTTCCACGCTCCTCAAAACCTCCTGATCAGAGTCCTTGCTCCTGGACGTAGTTTATCGTCTTAACCAGGACGTGGATGCAGTTTATTGTCATACCAAGGACGGGCATTTTCACCAGCGATATATATGTTGTACATTGACAGCAGTACACAGCCTTGTGGAACGTACCTTGCTACACATATGGCGGCCACCACTTCTACAACCAATAATTCTACACCTAACTGTGCTCGCATCCACTGTGTCTTCTCCGTAAACATTCAGAAAGATTTTGTGAATTTCAGTCTTTAAATTTTTTTTGTGTATTGATTACTTCAGTGTCACAATTCCGTTTCGTTCACACTTTCATGTCAGAAGACATTTTGCACAATCGCTACATTTAATAAGGCATGATTCAACTAGACATTGAATAACTATATTCTAGATACTACCCCACAATTGAACGTAGTTTATTAGGTAACACGAGAGTCATTTGTTAAGACAGCTGTTTACCACTATTCTTATCACGTTGGGTTAATTATTATTTTACCTCTGTATTCATCAAGCTGATTATCAATAATGCAAACTATCAGAAAATAACATTTTATACATGCCGGTAATTTTAATACGAAGTCTTGGCTTTAAACACTTTTATATGTTTGAAGTTATTTCTACAGGGGGGATCTGAAAAGAGAATATGAAATAGAATAACTTTACTAATTTGACTATTTTCACGGTTAATCATGTATTTCTTTGTCAGAGATATAGATCTGTCTTTCGTCACGAAAGTCTGTCTTATCCACAATAACGACAAAAATCGATTATTTGTAAGTAACGCCTACATACGAAGACTTTTATTCTGGTTTGTTATAAAAATGATTTCTTTGCTTGTTTTCATTGTGTAGCGGAGATTGTTAAGGACTATAAGTGAAGCAGTTAACACTTAGTGTGGATGCGGGCGAGCATTTTCAAAAGACATTTTCTTAACCCTTTTAACCCAAGAAAGGGGGGAAAACAATTAAGAAGCAAGGGTTTATTGATTGTGAAAGAATGTGAGAAAAAGAAAAATATTATTAAGGATAAAAAAAAACAGGAATTAAGAAGACAAAAAAATAACGGTTGATACTGCATTTACATTTTTCAAGATCAAAGTTGACTGGAAAACAAGAAGCTGGGAGAGAGTTCTACACCATGTCTAAGAGAAGAAATTGTTAGCCTAAAACGTAAGGTTAAATCCAGCCATTTTGAATGTAAAATGATGAGAACCTGCCACCAATCTAGTAATGCGCTTAAACCCATAAATGAGATGTATAAAGGGGAAAGTTTATCAGAACAATTACCATGAAAAATATTTATAAGAAAGGGAAATGGAAGCTTCTTTACGGCAGTGGGAATGCGAATTAAGTCGAGATGCCAGGTTAGGACCGATAACATTGCAGATTCTTTTAGATTTTATCAATTATCTCTAAATACATAGCAGAAACACCAGACTAGATACGGCAATAATAGTTAATGCGTGAACAAGTGGTAGACTTATAAATGTGTAAGGCATGTTCTGGAGAGACAACCTAGTCTAGCGTGACACAGTTAACCAACTTTCCTAACAGCAGACCTAGCAATTGATTTCAACACGTGGGCGATTTTATGCATATTTATATAAAGAATAACAAAAGAAAAGAAAGAGAAATTGTATTTATGTGTATATAGATACCTAAAAAAAGGAAATAATAAAAAAAACATTTGTGGCTTTAGCTATACTCTGTGTGTGTGTGTGTGAGAGAGAGAGAGTTATTGAGTGAAATAAATCTCCCCTCCCCCGGGAACAAGTCCGGTTGTTGTCTCTACTAGATCCCAGAGTAAAGAGAGAGAGAGAGAGACATGGTTTGTGTCCCTTTCTTTCTGAATAAAAGGCCACCTAGCGGACGTCCTGGTAGACAAGTTGAGGTAATCTCACTATTGTATGAACTGATAAAATAAAATAAAAAATCATCACTAGGCTCAGCTTCAAGTTTTTTTCCTAACCTTTGAACCCCTACTTATTTGGGCGAATTTTTATATCTTACCAAATCTTAATTGGTTTTACATGATCACCTGTATCAGTTTCCATAACTCGGTTTAAGTTTTAGTTCATTAAATAAGATTATAATAGAAGACATAAATATAAAAATATCAAATCTCTTAGCCTAAACTTGTTCTTACAACCGAAATTTGCACGTAACAGTTACTACTTAAATATCAAAGTATTAACTGCATGACAATTCAGCTCTTGATAACAGATGAACCTCCATATTTACATTTAACATTACAGTATTATGGATTTCCGCGAATTACGAGTGCTGGTTTTCTCGAGCTTCTAAGTAGAAATTTGCCTAACAAATATGTCAACTTTAACTATAAGGTCAAGGATATTTTTCAAATACATTTGGGAAAGGTTTCTGCCTTATATAACAACAGATTTCAGTAAGTAAATATGAATGTACTAACAAGTCTCGAAGACGCCAGTTTTTAAATAAATTCTTAATTAGCTTTCTATCTTCAATATAAACTTTACGAATGTTTGGGTTATCATTCTTTTCTTTTCGTATTTTTTTACGTAAAATATTTTATGTTAGATATACTCATCACAAAATGAAAAAAAAGCTGAATACCGTTAATTGTTTTCGTGTTAATGACAACAGAAATTTTGAAGATAACTGAATGTCGATTTGCTTGTTTCTGTGTATATTTCTACGTGTACTGTGATATATATAAATTGATTTGGAAAATTAAATGCACAGAAACAGATTGAAAGAATGGGAAGTAGATACACACAAGATATATAGCTGAGTGACCTAAGCAGCTAACCAAAATACTGGAGATTGATAGATTAATAGGCTGACCTCACCAGCTAACCAAAATATTGAAGATAGATAGATAGACAGACTGACATCATCAACTAACCAAAATACCGAAGATAGATAAATAGATAGACTGACCTCATCACTTTACCGAAATGCCGAAGACAGATAGACTGACCTTACCGAAATACCGAACATAGACAGAAAGCCTAACCGAAATACAGAAGATAGGTATATAGATAGACTGACCTCACCACCTTACCGAAGATAGATAGACCGGCTAACTGACCTCACCACCTTACCGAAATACCGACGATAGATAGCTAAGTAGATAAACTGACCTTATCAGCTAATCGAAATACTGGAGATGATAGGTTGATAGATGTACACGAATAAAGAGTTATACATACATATAAATCAATGAAGATAGATGTTTAACAAATCGGTCAAATCAAAACTAGTTTTATCTTTTATTGCTTTCAAGGGACGCACACACGTGCACAGTAATTGACAATGAATGGCGAACGATTGTCCTCTATTGATTAGCGGCCATATTTAAACTTATGCAGCTCACCGAATTCAAGGTAAAAACGAACCAAAGAATGAATAACTAACAGAATGAATGAAAGAATAGCTGAAGGAACGAATCTGTTCCCTATATTTCTGTAACAGGTGTTCGATATTAAATATACATTGAGGTGAAGAATGTTTGTTTTCGCTAAGCGGCATTCTACTCAAAAGGAAGCTCGTCTTCATAACAGTGAAAGTTTATTTATACGTTCATTTATCGTGTGTGTATTTTTATGAGCATACAAATAAACAGAAAGCACAAGAAAAGAACTAGACGTCTGTTGGCAGAATCACATGAACGAAGGAATATGATTAATTGCAAACTGTCTGTTTCGTGTCATGAGGCTCCGTCCGCCCAAGAAACGTTCAGTCTGCATGAACGAGTTCAGTGACTACACAAAAAAAAAGACAGAGGAACAAGAAAATGCTACGTTTTCTCACCTGATTATTGTTACCTAATACAGCGAAATGATCCTAAAAGAATTAAAAATCTTAGCAGGTTGTATTACTGATGGACGTAATACGCGGATGACACTCTGTTTATAGCGGACTCAGAAGGAAACCTGAACGATCTCGAGAAAAAACTATTAACTGTAAGTAAACAGAATGCATGGTTGTCAGCAAAAGAGACAGTTCAAGGTGTGAGCTACATATTGGAGACGTCGAAATCAAGCAGCTATAGATAGTGTAGTAACAGATGACATAAATGTAACATGGAGCATGAGAATAGATGCCTTCCAAAAGGTAGGCAAAGTATTAAGAGATATGAACATTTCATCAGAAACAACGAAAACAGTGCTGAACTGCAAGTTAATGTTTGATCTGCTACCTTCCAATAAATGCTGGACAATTTCCTCACAAATAAAAAAAGCAAAAGACTTGAATCGACATAGATCCGGTCCTAGCATCAAAGTCTGTGAATATCTTGAACTGAACAGAGGAGAAACGAGAAAGACATAGAAAGAAATACTACAAAGAATTTGCAATTAAAAGCAGGAAGCTGAAGTTTCTGGGACCGTAAAGAGAGAGGGTTTAGAGACTATAACACTCAGAGGAAATAGGAGAAGCATCGAGTAACCCATTTTACGTTTTTGAGCGAATGAATGGCAGAACAAAGACAAAGAGAGACAGTAAAGAGTCGAAAGCTACTTAGAGAAACGCAGTGGGTGCAGTGGAAAGCCATAATCGCCCTCGTCCTGAAATTTTGGCATCGGTAAGTGAAAACAATTCCTGTAATAAGTGTGAAAATTTTACAATTCCTGTAATTAAGTGTTAAATTTTTTAATGAAAATTAAAATTACAGAATATTTATAAAAGTGAAATGCTTGTACGTGTATAATGGACTGATTATAGTGGTGTTGAAGTGGCCACTCTATATGCAAAGATATATGCATATCCGCTAGATATATAGTGATTTACGAAGCATAGCTTAGATGTAGCACAAGGCCGAAAGTATGGCGCACCCAGCGAGGATCGAAATTCATTCGAGATATAATATTTACGTATTGTTAAACATCAAGTGAATATTTATATCCTTATAGGCCATTATTATCATCATTAGTCCCGCGACTGCTTCGATCGTCGGAGTGGATACCTGAGGGCAGAAGAAACAGACAACCAGGTTGATCTGTTGGCGGTGAATCTCAAGAGATCCTGCCTGTTCACTCTTTGATATTATCTGATCAGCTCTTGCGTTGCCATCCCTGCTTGCGTTCGCCTTCGACAGTGTCTTGCATGATGGTCTTGCAGAGGCTGCCATACCGTGTGACGTGGCCAAACTATGCCATCTTCAGACGCTTCAGAGAGATTACTGTCAGCCCACGAGACTTGCTCCGTTACAAAGTCATTGGTTTTGTCCTCCCAGTGGGACATGCGGAGGAGCTTCCGCGGTCATTTGTTTTTGCACACCTGGATCTCTTTTCTTGTCTCAGTCAGTAGTGACCAAGTCTCACGCCCATAGAGGAGATGACCAGTGATTTGTAGATCTTGAACTTGGTTTGGAAGCTGATGTTGCTCTTCCGTACCCTTTCTAGTTTGGCCATTGCTGCTGCGTCTATGGCGAACACTTCGTTTTTTATGGTTTGCCGTCTGTGTCAATGCTGGCACTGATGTTGCTTATAATATTTACTACAACTTTGGATTCCTCTGTATTGTGTTCCATTCGATATTCAGCGATTCTTTTAACGAGTTTGTTGCTCAATATTACTATCCGGCTTAACGTCAATATCGTGTCGGAAACGCAGGTTGCAGACAGACCTATCTCCGATATAGAAGTGCTGTATATATAAATGTGTTTATATGTCACTGCTTTGTTAGTCATTTTGAATTTTCTGTGGTATCCATCAGTGTCTGCGGATGGAGATCTTTTTTCTTTTCTTTTTTTTTCCTTTTTGATTCAGCTGGCGCTGTTAGATCAGCATCTTTTTTACCAATCGAACGCAAGTTTATAACAAGTAGAAGTTGATTTCCATGTTTTACCTCCGCAGTAAACTGATGCTGGAGTGTTCTCCCCGAGGTATACTTCTACACGAACGGCTTCTTCTCACGAACCGCTACATTGTGGAATCGACTCCCAAGATGATACTTCCCCGATCACTATAATCTTAACCTTTTCAATAATTTTTAATTATCCTACATATCATCGTAATATGACCTTGCCCCCACCCCATCCAGCGATCTCATTCAGTCTCTACTTTGAATGGCTCTTGAGCCTTTTATTGGGTGAACATAGTTAAAAAAAATTGACGTAACTTAACTTCGGTGATCGTAAGAGTACTGTTGTATACAGCCTGATACGTTTGTAAAGTGATATTATGAAATATTTACGAAGTTTAGCTTAGACTGACCCAAGCCTATAAATGTGATACTCCCAGTGAGGGTCGAACTCGCTACGCAATAGTAATGTCTTATTTAACTAGACTGGTTATTAATCTTCTACAAATAGTTACCTGATACAAGGGCATCTAAATGATACGTTCATCCCATTCAAGGTCCAAAAGCCACTCGAGGCAGATGATTATAAAAGTTTATTGTGTGAGCAGTAAGAGGCGCTGCTTATAAGAAATATATAATCTGTAATTCATAACCCCTCCTCTTATGTCCATAAAACAACCTAATTCAGTAACTGTCTACCTGGAGTTAATTTTGCGTCTTGTCTCAGGCGAACAATGGTGGAGAATAAATACTTTTTTTTATCTAGAAACCGAGCAATTTTAAACATTTTAAATGTCTCATTCTATACATAGTCATATGCGGTAATCATACGTGCCATCCGACCTTTTTTTCTCTCCTTTGACTAAACAAGTGGAAACTTTGTTGTTGATTTATAGCGCATCGACTGTCTTCTATGTGCCGTATCCCTTCAGCATGTAGGCGAACATGGCTCTCCACAATTTCTCGTCCTTTGTAGCTCTATTTAGTATTTTTATTATAAACCTTGTTCCGCCACCATTTACACAATCTCGTTACGTAGGTTATGCGTTGTTTTCCTCTCTCTCTCTCTCTCTCGCCTTCAGCCTGTCCTCTCTGTATCAAATTCTCCAAGTCCTCTTTCTTTATTGTGTAACGTAGACATTTCAACTGTCTCTTCCTGATAAGTAAAATCGTCGCTTTTGTTTCCATTTTCTCTAAAAATTTCTTCGTTGCCCAGACGTTCGGTATTCCCAACATTCTTCTGTAGAACCACATTTCTGTTGCCTCGAGTCTCTTCCTCATCTGTGAGGAGATTGTACAACATTTACTGCCATATTAGAGGACTAATATTACGTAACAGATCAGTACTTTTTTGTTTGTTTCTAGCGAAATTATCCTGTTTCATAATACTTTGCTTAGCTTTTGGAAGGCATCTCTTCGTGTACTCTAACATTTGTTTCTATTTAAAAGTGGAATTTCATTGTTTATCAGAGCTGTTTCGACTTGAAGGCACTCGATGAATCTCTGTTATTTCATTATGGCATGCTCGTTTCTGGGCACGCCAATCTGGTCATGCTCGTTTGTGTATCTTCAATACCAACCATAGCTTATACTACAACTAAACTGAACGGATATTACTTACAGTTCAAATACGAACCCCAGGGGCCACATATTTTTGCGATTCAAAGTTGTCATTTTCCTGTACTGCTTTCTAATCATGGCTAAAGAGTTGCGTCTGTCTTGCGACTTCAATTATAGTGGATGTGTAGAAGTGATGGATTCATGTTTCCAAGGGGTATTTGTGCGAAGCGAAAGTGAATGCAACGATCTCGACTGGAATTCGAACTCAGCTCGCCGATTTCTCGATCCGAGCATTACACCACCCACACACCCTAATTTGATTATTAACCACTGAATTTTTCAATCTTTGACCTAAAATGAGCCTGGGTAAATTTTGTCACCCAGTCTGTTAGGCTCCACAAATCTGGAAAAAAGATTTTATAATTTCTCAGGCGTTACTGAAAAAAGGGGGGGGCTATTAAAGGAGATGCAGAATTCGAACAGTGAGCTCGACTAGAATGTAGTCCGGATATTTGCCGGTACTCTCTGTGAATAGCACACATTGTAAGTTCTCAAGATGTCTACTTCGAAAGAAACGGAGGAAATCAAGTATTATGGTAATCATTTTTTTTTTTTTTTTAATTTTCTCTGAAACTTACCATATGTAAAATCTAATGCTTTGCTAGTAGAGGAAAACACTAAAAATAATATAAATGCATTTACAAACTTTTGTAATGTAGAAATATATTGAAAATAAGAAAAACAAACTATCAACTGTTAGAATTAATTCACACTTAAT